TATATTTGGTTTTTCCATGGTCTTGAGATCTTGAGATTAAATCTCATTAACTTTTTTTTTTTTTTTTGGTACCGGGGATCGAACTCGGGTCCTCATGCTTGCACAGCAGGTGGCGAAACCACTGAGCTAAATCCCCGGCCCTGTTTGATATTTTTTTAAATTTGACTTTTAAACTTTCAGTTAGAGATAAACTACCATTAAAAGTTAATAATTTGCACCATAACGTATCTTCTTCTTTTAGGGTTACCTTTATAGTTCAGCACTGCAGCTGTATGGAGTAGAACTGAATGGAGACTTTTGCCAGTTACAGGAAATGGTCATTAAAAAATATCATTTTAGTGACAGAATAAAGGTACTCTTTTTTAAATTTTTTTTTTTTTTAGTATATGTCAGTAGTACATAATAATTAATTCTTCACAGGGAGTTGTACATGTTCATAACACATCTTAATTCTTTTTTCATTCCCTTCCCTTCCCTCCCACCTCCTCTATCTCCTGGTCCTCTTTATATTTTCTGTTATCCATCTTAACTTAGCTAAACCTCTTCTGTATTATTTTCTAACCTATTCTTGTTTGCTGTTGTGTAGAAATAGATTGAGTTAACCTTTTTTTTTAAGTGGTGACAAAGTTTATTTGAAAAAGTAAAAATGAGGAGTGAGGGAGAAACTGGCTCTGTAGAGCAAGCTTGGGCCAAGTAAAAGAGGAAAAAAACAAGATAAAAGTACACCCGAAGACACAGGGCTAGCTGTCATGTGAGAGCCACAATAGTCTGAGTTGGCGAAATATTTTTAAATGTTAATATAGATGAATGGTTATAATTATATTCATTCACGTATTTTTCTTTCTCCCTAAATTTTTTAGAAAGTAAACTTTTTTTCTTTTTCTTTCTCTCTCTTTGTTTTGTTTTGTTTTGTTTTGTTTTTTGAGACAGGGTCATGCTGGCCTGGAACTCAGTATGCAGCCCAGGCTGGCCTCAAACTTGGGGCAGTCCTCCTGCCTCAGCTGCCTGAATGCTGACATTACAGGCACACACCACTGCACTCAGCTTTCTGTTTTCTCTGTATCAGCTATAATTTTGGTAGCAGCATTTTTTAAATGCTAGAGGTTGGTTAGAAATGTGTTTACTTATTTATTTATTTTGGTTTTTTTGAGACAGGGTCTCACTATATTGTTCAGGCTGGCATTGAACTCACTATGTAGTCCAAAATGGCCTCAAACTCATGGTAATCCTCCGGCCTCAGGTTCCCAAGTACTGGGACTACAGATGTGTGTCACCACACCTGGCCCAGAAATGTATTTAATTAATCTGTAAATGTTGAAAATAAAGAAAAGGGCTATGTGATACTCACAGTTTTTTATCTTTTCCTAAACTTTCAGAGAATGTAATAGATGTCACAGGATAGCAGTTCATGGAGAATGATGCCTTGACTTAAACCAGTGGTGGCAGACCTATGGCACATGTGTTATTTTTCTTTTAAGACAGAGGATGTTAATGTATGAGTTGTTTTTTCTAAACTGAAACCTCAGTATTCAGGTTTAATTGGAGTGTTGGCACTTTGTGATAAATCAGTGGGTTTTGGGCTGTAGTTTGGGTACTCAGCCTCTAAAAGATTCACCATCACTGGGTTAGGCTGTGGCAGAGCTTTTCTTTTCCTATATTTGAGAGGAAAAATGTCAAGGAATTTTAGGTTAATACAGTAATCCTTCATGATGTATACTTCTAATGGCAATATAGAGAGGTATTGAGTATCTCTGATGTTAAGGCAATCCAGCATTAAAAGATATTGCAGTTAGAAGGCCAGGGATTTAGCTCAGTGGTTTTGCCACCTGCTGCGCAAGTACAAGGACCTGAGTTCGATCTCCGGTACCAAAAAAAAAAGATATTGCAGTTAGCAACAACAACTGAAAAAAAAAGATACCGCAGTTAGCTAGGCATGGTGGTACACAGCTGTAATCTCAGCACTCTGGGAAGCTGAGGCAGGAGGACTGCAAGCGCAAGCCCAGCCTGGGCAACTTAGTGATTTAGCAAGACCCTGTCACAGAATAAAAAAGGGCTGGCGGTGTGGCTCAGTGTGAAAGCCATGGGTCGAGCTTTTCCCCTTTTTAATTTTAATTTTTATT